GCCTTCTTCAATTTCTTCTTCTACTACTTCTTAATACGAGAATGTCCAGAAAACGTATGCTGACTTGGGCGTGTAGCGAATCGAATTAACATTGGTGTATCGTATTGTGTGCGCTAACAGACCTGAAACGAGCGAGCCCAGTGGTACCAGAGCTGACCACTGGAGGACTTCTACTAAATTCTTCTCGACGTGTGCCTCATGGAGGTGGGACCTCCGTTGCCTCCATGACGTCCATCGAGGATGATCCTCGTATTGTCGGTGGTAAGTCGAGATAGTAAAAATGCCTGAACGAAAAAAAAAAAAAAAAACAGGACCTTACGATACGTTTATGATATTTTGGGTCGCTTCGCTTGCCGCTATCCCTCTTGATCGGCTGTCGTATCTTTTTTTTTTATTATCCTTCACCGATATACTCTCCGCTTTTCTCTCTCTCTCTCTTTTTCTCTCTCTCTCTCTATGTCTCTCACTTTTCTCTCTTTTTCTTTCTCTTTCTATCTATTTTCTCTTCGACTCCGTATCGCGGCGTCAAATCGTCGCATGTAGCGTGTCGGAGTACAGTTGTTGTCTACAATGCTTTTAGGGTATCACTGGGACTGTTCAGACTGGGTCAGGCCAAGCCAAAACCCCTTGCCTAATATCACGGAGGTGCCTGGAAGCGAAGTACCAGACTCGTCCAGCTTCCACAGCAATGAGAGTAACGAATCAAACACTCATCAGTTACCGTCAGGTGAGTAGGTCGTGTGCATGCGCGCGGTACGGTGCTTCCACTCGTGATCGAGTCTTAAAATAATGGTACATGATCGTTTGGTCAAAATATTCTCCTCAGCTTATCGTATTGGTAAAGTTTCCTTGTATAGGAAAAGAGGAAACTATAAAACTTGTTTTTCTTTCAAATAATTTATCGTTCTATAAATAACTGTAAAAAGGGTTGCATGCGATAACCATAAGGTAGACTGGGTGTTCTGTTTACTCCTTGGTTCGACGAAGTTCGTGTTTCTATCTCTCAACTGGTAGAGTGCGGTGTACTAAAAATTCTTTGTTACTCGTAAATCGTAAATATAGATTTCTGTGGTCATCTATTACCGACTGCACACGTGAAGCTCAACCTACCGTATTCTATTGTGACAACTATCAGAAAAACGTCACAAATTCTCCTCCATCTCCCCATGTCCTGATTCTAGTTTTGCATAGTTGTTCATCAAAACCTGTCACCTTAATTCACCTACCAGTTGAAAATTGCAATAACCTAACACTCTGTGAACCTTAGAAGAACGTATAAAATAACGCAATATTTCTGTTTCAGTGCACGGCTCTGTAGATCCAGCAAGGGACATCGAGACGCTGAACGAGGATCAAGAGTCGGAGTATGTCGGGGACTCGGAGTGCGGGACCGAGTTCTCCGAACAGTATCAGTGCGCGGAAACGCAGCGTTTGAACCCCCTGGACAGCGGCGGGGAGGGGGAGTACAAGTATAAAGGTTCCGAGAGTTATCTCCGTCATCCGAACTCTTACCTGCCGCATTACAACATCCACACGGACACGGAGAACGAAACGAATCCGTTGAATGGACGTCTTAGTACTTTAGAATCCGACGAAGAGGAAGACGACGTAGTGCCTTATGGTTTCCCAAGCACCCGACGCAACCGATGTCACAAGGGGGACGAGGTCGACGAGATCGGTTCGGTGATCACCACGCTCGAAGAGAGAAACTCTTTGTTAGGCGGCGCCACCAGTAACAGCGATTTATCCACCAACTTATGCGAAATCGACGACTCCGAGTACGAGATCGCCGATCAGAAGAGCAACGGCCGTCTGTGGTTGTCGGGAAACGGTATCACGCAGACCTCGGTGTGACAAACAGTGGTGCCACGACTTGAGAACAGACTGAACGTGATCGTGTTTTTCTGTGCTTCTTGAGTAAGACAGTGCAAATGTTCTTTTCTTTTATTAATTTTTTTTATTTTGTGAATATACGAGAAATTTTGTACATACGTATATTATCAGATCCGGGGTAGAGAGAAAGGGGTAAAAAGTGTGTACAGAGGCAGCTATGAGGATAAGAAACTGACGAACACGAGCTAATTGAAAGAAGAAGAAAAATACGGTATGGAAATTCGCATACTGAGCCAACGGTGCGCACGTCGTTTCGCGCATCGTACCTCAATTCTCCTATGTAGGTAGAGCTTAGGTACTGTAATGTACTTAATTCCGCGATCCTCGAGAGAATTCTATTAAGCCGCGAGTGCAAAAATCAACGTACACTTATCTGGGAGCAATTCTTGTTTTCATACAACTTCCGTTTATATCATAATATACATATATTTCACGGTAAATAGAGCAGGCCCATTGAACGATTGGTATGTTGTAAGATTAAGTGTTCTATTGAATATAAGTTTATTTGATAGACGAGTTATATTTCGACAGTTTTTATGCTGTGTGGACCAGTTTCGTAAATTCGTTTCCTGTTTTAACCGCAAAACATTTTTCCGATTCTACCAAAGGGGATGAGGTTTAGTGAAAAAGGAATATAAATATATGTATATGTATATGTATGCAATATGGAGGATATATGTATACATATATACCCGTGGCAACTATACGCAACTATTACAGTGTAAGGAATTATCTTGATTAAGGATAAAAATTTGTTACTTGAGAGAAGTAAATTTAATCACGACCGCGTTGTCAGACCAATGACTATTATTTAATGACCTATCGTTTAAACTTAAATGTTATCCGCAACTATAATTCCACTGCAAACAAAAAAAAAAAAAAAATATGGTACACAGGTACATTTATGTATTTTTACTATTTGCTAACCGACTTTATTTTGGTTACGTACGAGAAATGAACAGAAGGACTACTTAATAATATAGGTGTAAGTACCGCATAGTCTAGTGAGTAAATGAATTGACTCTAGTGAAAAAAAAAAAAACAGTGCTCTGCTTCTAGGGCGAATATATGTGCATGTCTGCTGGCGTTTACTGCAGCAAAGCACAATAGTTAAAAAGATATGAAATATTTTTACTGTGATGATAATAATGTTTATACAATGATCAAATACTATGACTTGTATGATAATGATTGTAATATTAACTATCCAACGTTTTTTAAAAGAAAAGAAATTAAGAAATGGCGGAAAATAGTATTCCATTTCCGCGTGTACGTAATGCTAAGTCAACGTTCCGTTCGTTTAACTTCTTATTCTTCTTCATTTTTTTTCGCTATTTCTCTGTTTTATTTTTTATTTAAAAAAAAAAAAAAGAAAAGAAAACTTCTCCTTCCATTTTAGTCACCATCAGTTCGACAGACATAACTGCATACATGGTGCTACTACTTACATCACGCTTTAAAACATTTTTATCTACTCGATAAGACTGCTCAGCAAT